AAATCCCATACAAAGCATCTCTAAGGGAAAAAACAGTTCGAGTGAGTTAGCAGTTTTTGAAGGAGACATTATTAAGGACACAAGAGCAAACTATCCCACTGCACAGAAAAAATAGGAGGTATGGCAAGAAACTGTGCTGGCTTAACCAGGAGATCTTCAGTGATCTGAAACACACCCATACCCACACACAAAAAGAGTCCTACAAAAATTGCAAAGGATGAATATAAACAAACAACACAAGTATGTAGGGACAAAATTAGAAAGGAATATTTTGCCCTCCCCCCCAACACATTCTAATAATTAATAGGAGGCGCTAAGCAATTGCTTAGTTTGCTTATCCCTAGTTAGTGCCGGCTCTGAGGTCTAGAAAATGAACTCTGAGGAAAGATTGAAAAAATTGGGTCTGTTTAGTCTGGAGAAGAGAAGATGAGGGGGGACATAACAGTTTTAAGTACATAAAAGGCTGTTATAAGGAGGAGGGTGAAAAATTGTTCTCCTTAATCTCTGAGACTAGGACAAGAAGCAATGGGTTTAAATTGCAACAAAGGAGATTTAGGCTGGACCTTAGGAAAAACTTCCTAACTGTCAGAGTCAGTTAAGCATGGGGACAAATTACCTAGGGAGCTAAGTTCCCTCTAAGCTGCGCGGCCGTGCAGCAGGCTATCAAGGGCCACACAGGCAGGGAGAGGCACCTCTCCCCTGGCGCTGGCCCCAGAGCTGCCCCAGCGGGGAGAGGCGCTCTCTCCTGGCCCTGGGCTGCTGTGGTGAGAGAAGGCTGGGGGGAGTCCTCTCTCCCCGCCACAGCCATGGGATAGCCTGCACTCCAAACCCCTCATCCCTAGCCCCACCCCAACCCTCTGCCCTAGCCTTGAGCCCCCTCTCACACCCCAAACCTCTCATCCCTGGCCCCACTCCAGATCCCTCATTCTCCATCCTCCCACACCCAACCCTCTGCCCCAGACCTGAGCCCCCTCCCACATTCCGAACCCCTCGGCCCCACCCCTGCCACACATCACCTCCATATTGGTGCACATAACAAAATTCATTCTGCACATGGATGTAAAAAAATAGAGAGAACATTGCTAGGGAGGTTGTGGACTCTCCGTCATTGAAGGTTTCAAAGAACAGGTTGGACAAACACCTGTCAGGCATGGTCTAGTTATTACGTAGTCCTGCCCTGAGTGGACTAGATGACCTCTCAAGGTCCCCTCCCATCCTACACTTCTATGATTGTGTGTGTGTGTGTGTATAAATATGTATATAGTCTATCTATGACACATGCACATGTATATATGCACAGGAGTTTGGAAAGTGAAATATACATTCAATGTATCCATCCTACATTGATCAGTTAAAGATATCTGGCACTTTTTTTAAATATATAAATCATGATTCATGCCAAATGTTCAAATGGCCTCCCTCACTGACATTCAAAAAGCAAGGCTTAGGGTAACATTTTTAAAAGCAACTAATTGACTTGGGAACCTAAAGGTGTGAAAGTCAATGGGACATGGGTTTCTATGTGTCTAAGGTCATAACTACACATACAAGCTTATAGTGGCACAGCTGTACTGATACAGCTGTGCCGCTGTAAGAGCGCTTGTGTAGCTGCGTTATGCTGATGGGAGAAAGCTCTCCCATCGACATAATAAAACCAGCCCAACGAGCAGTGGTAGCTGTGTTGGTGGGAGAGCATCTCCTGTTGACATAGTGCTGTGCACATGAGCGCCTATGTCAGCCAAATGTATGTCACTCAGGGGTGTGGTTTTTTTCAAAGTTTTGCCGACATCAGTGCTAGTGTAGACATGGTCTTATTCACTTCTGAAAATCTGACTTAGGCTTCTGTGTCACTTAAATGCTTTTGAAAATGTTTCCTTTGGTCACACAACATTTGTATTTGTACATGCAAATGGTTTTACCTGCAAATTTGGAAGGCTTAGTTATGTGTGCACTTTGAACATATAGCTCTTATTCAGGGGTGAAAGTAGAAATAGGGACTTCCTGGTACGGGGCTGGATTGGGGCTGGCTCTGGCCCCCGGAAGGGGCGGGGCCTCGGGCGGAAGGGGCGGGGATAGGGGGTCAGAGCCAGCCTCGGCCCGCTCTGTACCGGTAAGTGCCCTCTCCCACCGGGGTAGCAGCGGCAGTTGGGGGCTCTGGCAGCAGTTTAAAGGGCCCAGGGCTCGGCCGCTGCTACCGCCCCAGGCCCTTTAAACCACTGCCGGAGCCCCCATCTGCTGCTGCTACCCCAGTGCTCCGGGGGCTATTTAAAGGTCCAGGGCCG